GGAGATACATAGATGATGGGTGGTAATTTAAAAGATCAATCATTATGTAAAATTTTCGTATACTGTGAAATTTCATCTTCAGAATTAATAGAAGTAAGGACTGAGAAGTATAGTGGATGTTGGGAAATGGGGAGAAAGTGTTCAAAAGGGGAGGGGAACAAGGGAGGAGGGGGGAGGGAGGAAGGAAGGGACAAGAAAAAAAGAGAAAAGAGGATAAAGCAGATGTGGTTTTTCTACAAAATGGAATACTACTCAGGCATAAACAATGAGAAATTAGTCATTCGTAGGAAAATGGATACGTATTGAGGATATACTCCTAAGTGAAATAAATAAGTCACCCATGTGTGACTGAATAGTTTCTCTGGTGTGAATAAACTGTAATAGTACATAAGATCCTAATGAGATCATTGGCAATGTGAAATAGGAAGAAAAGGGCTAAAGGTGTAGGGAAAGTGGGAAGGGTAGGGGAAGGGGAATGAGGGAAAAGAAAAAAATATGAGAAAATGAAAAAATGGAAATAAAGTGTTTGTAAATGGGGAGGGGAGGAGGGGGTGAAGGGAGGGCAAGGGGAAGGGGAAAAAAGGAGAAACAAGACCTGTCATGTGAAGGTACAAAATCCCACTGGACATGGTGGCACACACCTGTAATCCCAGCACTCAGGAGGCTGAGGCAGGAGGATCGCTGTGAGTTCAAGACCAGCCTGGGCTACATAGTGAGTTCCAGGTCAGTCTCAACTACATAGTGAGACCCTGTCTCAAAAAACCAAAAACCAAAAAAAAAAAAAAAAGGTACAAGATCCCAATGATGAATATAACTGTACTCTATACTTAAAGTGTACCAATAAACTCAATGAGAAAAAAAAAAGTGAAAATGGGAAAAAATGATGGAAACAAAGCTTCTCTACATAGGGAGGAGAGGAGGCTTTGGGGGGAAATGGGATAAAATAAAATTTATTTTTTAAAGATGGACTCATCTGACTGAAGATATAGTGCAGTGGGACAGGGCTTTCCTCACATGCATGAGACCTTGGGTTTCATCCCCAGCACCACCAAAACTGAAATAAAATAAATGGACTTAAGTTACTTATAGCTAAATTACCCTTCAATAAAACAGATTTTTTAAATGAAAAAAAAGAAAAAAAAGAATTGATTCCTTAAAAAAGCTGGGCAGGCTGGGCGTGGTGATCCACAGGTTTAATCCCAGCACTCAGGAGGCTGAGGCGGAAGGGGGAGGATTGCTGTCCGTTCCAGGCCAGCCTGGGATATACCGTGGGTTCAAAGCAGGCCTGTACTGTAGAGCAAGATCCTGTCTCAAGAAAGAGAAAGAGAGAAAAAGAGGGGAGAAAGAAAGGAGAGAAAAGACAGAAAGTGGAAGGGAGATGATTTGAGTAGGTAGCAGGGCCTGGGGGAGGAGGGAGGGCAGACTGGGCGGTTTGATCAGACTGTGTTGTAAGTACTATGAAAATGCCACAATAAAGCCCTTTATTCTTTATAACTAATATGCACCAATTCAAAAAGTTAGAGACTCGGAGTCATGGGATTTGACTTCTTAATACCCTGCAACATACACTGCAAGATATCAGGCTACTGTTAGCAGCTCACAATTGTCAGTCTGATGTTTGCTGTATAGGCTTCACAGAGTCATTTGTGGAGATCTGATTCTTTCAATTACTTTGGGTTGATTGTTTCTCTAGAAAATTACAAGTATTTGATTAAGAGTAAACATTTTCAGCCGGGTGTGGTGGCACACAGCTACAATCCCAGCACTCTGGAGGCTAAGGCAGGAGGATCACGGCGAGTTGGAGGTCAGCCCAGCCTGCATAGTGACATTGTCTCAGAAAAGAAGTGTCCTATTTTTACACTTCTCCTTGTTGATTTGTAGTGATTAAATATATTGAAATGTATGCTTCTAGTAACATAGCAGCATAGGGTTATACGTACTAATTGTTCAGAATTATGAAAAATAGCCAGGTGTGGTGGTGCTCGCCTGTGATCCCAGCACTTGAGCGGCTGAGGCAGGAGGGTCACCATGAGTTCAAGGCCAGCCTGAGCTACACAGTGATTTGGAAGTCAGCCTAAAGCACATAGAGAGGCCTCTAAAAAAATTTATAATAAGGAGAGGTTAATTAATATGAGTGCTCAATAACTCTGTGACACTCAGTACACGAACACGGATGGCCACCCTGACAGGTCACAGTACTTGTGCGGGTTGTACTGCTATGGAACTCTAACCCTAACCAGGACGCATCGGCAGGCGAGTCACTTCTGAGGAACTCAGGTTTCGCAAAGATACAGGCAAGAGCACATTTTTATGATAGCGTGGTCAATCTCTTAAAGAAAAGGGAGAGGTTTATGACAGAAGAGTGATAACGCTTTAACTACATGTGTGTGGTTAACTCCGTGTAAGCCATTCAAGTTACCTTCTACCTATATTTACGGGCTGGATTGCATAATCTACGAAGTTTGCAGGAAGTACCTGGAAGATAAGGTTCCATAGAAAAGTTATTTAAGTTTGAAAATAAACCACAGCTCGTGCTCGGAAACAAGTTCGTAGGAAGTTTTGTAACACCGGTGAATAGGAGATTCATTTTCAAAAAACATTTTTTCTTCTCTCACGGTTAACATTAGTTGATCGGTTAAGCAGTGGGTGAATGCCCGCCGTCGTGAGCTCACGCAGGAATGCAGCCGTGGGGATGGATGAGCAGCAGGCGGCTGACTGCATTAAAGGCGAAGATAAACACGGATGGTACTGAAGTCGTCCCAAGCGCACCGAGGGCTACAGCGTAGTATGATGTCCGCTAGCGAGGGGTTTCCTTCATGCGTGCCACTCACCGAAGGGACCCATTTATTTCTACGACAACTGGGGCTTGATCAGCGGGCCTTGCGTTTGCTGTGAGCACTGACCTCCGCGGTTAATGTGTAACTGCTAATTGTTCTGCTCTGTGGTCACCTACACTTCACAGCAGAGAAACACAGGGTCCGCTCAGCCCCTTCATCGCGCAGGCGCACCCCCAGGCAGTGCACATCCTTGCTGGGGCGATGGTGTGTGGCCCACACCCCTTTTGGGAAACACTTGGAGGTGCGAAGTGGCTGTCTCAGCCCTTACTGGATGCTTTGCTATGATATTTACAGCCTTGCAAAGAGCAAGGGTACGCCTCTGACAAATTAAAGAAAAAAGAAGACGGAAAATAACCTCTAATGGTGACAGGAGAAGTGGTGGATGATAATGCTGTAGAAGAGGAACTACTTCCGCTTTAATGAAAGCAAATTACCCTAAAATCTTTGTTGCGGAAAATTAAAACTAATATGTTCATGTTGTAATGCAAAATTGCCTGTAACCCAATTTCCCAGTGTGAGATGCAGTTTATTTTCAAACGTAAATAACTTGTCCATTTTAATAATTTGCTTTCCCCATTACAGCAAGAAAAAAGAAGCCATTTACAGCAAGTACCTTCTGTTCCATTAATTGTCAAGAACAATCCAAAGAAGTTCTATTATTTTCTCTGTGACAATTCTAACAGATTAACTACATTAAAAAAGTATTCATACACGTGTGCATTCTGTCTTTGAAACAAATGTAAATGAAATGTACCACCTGGAGGTGGGCCAGTTCCAGGTGGGCCATTACCCATTTCCTTGACCTAGCAGAGGTGTTTTTGTTTTGTGATGACAACGAATCCCCCAGGGTCCCTTGCAGTCTATTGTGTGGGATGACAGCCCGGCCTCGGATTAGCATGCGGTGGGGGGACAGAGCCAGGTACACGGTCCCCAGCTCCCTGCAGACCAGGTCATTGTTCATCTCTGTGAGGCTGCCCAGCTAATTGCTGCCATGATTAGGAAACCAACAGAAAACACAGAACGACTGAATGTGCTAACTCAGTCTGGTTTAAACCTCAGCGATATCTTCTCTCAGATACAGGCATGGGAGGCTCTCCTCGGAGTTTTCTCATGATGGGTTTGGATGTTAACAATATTGGGAAAAATCCTCTCAGGTGTGGAAGGTGACGCCTGAGCCAGGCAGAGGTGCTGTCAGTTGGTCACGAACTGTAACAAAGTCACAACGCTACCCTTGGAAGGGGCCCCATCTTCGCCCAGGCTTTGCCACATACCATTTCATAAAACATGCAACCAACAGAGCACCTCCACGCAAGGTTGCACTCTGCTGTTGAGAAACCCTTCCTTCTATCTAAGTAAATCACCCTATCTGCAGTTTGGCAATCCCATTTCCTCCCGTCTTCAGCAACACCTAACATTCCTTACACTAACATGCATCTTCCTACAGCAGCAGCCAAAAACTCAACCTAATGCAGCAAAATGGAAATAAGGGGACTTAAAAACAAAAAGTTCTTTTTGCCATATCGCACTTCACTTGATCTTAGCCAAGAGGCCGAGAAGCGATGCCATATCGTACTTTATACGCTGATTGGCTTGTTTTGTTGCTTTTCAAATTTAGACACAAGATCTGGGAACCGGAGCGCAGAGCAGTGGTAGAGCATTTGCCTAGCACATGAGAGTTCAGTCCTGAGCTCAGTCCTCAGCATTGGAAAGAAAAGAAGAGAATCAATGAGTATTTAAGTAGCAGATTCCCATGCAGGGCTTCTAAACATCAAGTCGGGGGAAAACATGCTCTGAGCTGCCACATAAATGGTAAGTACACATTAGTTAAATTAAAACTTTACCTTTTTTTTCCATGCTTTATAGGAAAAGTAAAACATTAAGACTTAAATCCTTTTCTTCAATCAGACACATTTTTGGACCCATGTGAACATTATTGAAAACAGTAACAATTGTAGCTTTTTTGCTACTTGGCCTAAAATAATCTTTCTACTATCATTAGAATTAAAGGAGAACTGAAAAAGACCTTCAATAAATTGCTGTCAGAAATTCCCTCCAAAACGGCCTGCCTGTGATTAAGGTGCATTTACAGATCTGATGTTCCTTAAAAGAAGCATTACCATTACAAAGACCAATTATTCATGGTAAAACAAAGGACATTCAGATTCCCTGATCAAAGCGGTAATCTCTTTTACAATTGTTATTTCTGAAGTGTCTTCAAACAGAACAAACACACTTTGGCTGTGTAAACAGGTAGGGCTGGGGCTAATTTGCTGTTTGCAGGACATGATGGGCTTCTCACAAGTGTCAGGCCGAGCAGGGTCCACACCTCATCCCCCTTTTTAAACCCAAAACAGCAGATGCCAAGGAATGGCTTCAAATAAGACAAACTCCGATCATGGTGTTTGGCATCAAAACGGTTGTAACATCAAGGTCCTCTTGCAAGTTTAATATAGCCTTGTCTGTTTCTCGAAGTTGCTTGTTTTGACGATGTCAGACAAACTTTTAAAATGATCAAAGGCAGGAAAACAGACACGAGTTAAGAGAAGAGGACAGACTAGGGGCTGGAAGGTGCTGAGCAAATTCCTAACAATTCTCAACCGTTTTCCGCCATGCAGAATCAGGGTAACAGTGCACCCCATGGCACCCCTGTACATGAGGGAGCACTGAGCCATTAGAGGCCTGGACACTGATAGAATATGTTTCTAAGTCTCCCTGTAGCCCTGGATCAACATCTTCAAGTGCCAAAGAGCAAAAAGGAAACTATTCTATGGCACCTCGCACAGCCTTTGCAGAATGTGTCTGCACAGCGAGCGCAGTGATTGAAGAGAGCTAAACAGGTGTCCTCGCAGATAGATCTCTGTGAATCTCTGAGAATAGCTGTAGCGTGTGACCGGGTCAAACACCTGACAGAGCTGCTTTGTCCTCAGGCAACGGAGGACCGCGTGTCCCCTGGAGAACGCGTTTGGAATTGATGCCTTCCGGTGGGGTAGGGAACGTTGCTCTCCTCAGGCAGACACTTTCCCTCCTTTGGTACAGATGAACAGCTACTAATGGTCGAGTATCATGAGATAAATCATAGCATAAGGAGTTTGCACCAAATTGCCACTTTGAGACTATACATCTAGCAGCTCCACTACTTTGTGCCTCAGGGTCTGGTTGAGGTTTTAAATCTATCCAAGGCTCTGGCCCAGACCGAATAATGCTAACTCGTCAGGCTTAATAAATGATAGATTTTGTTTTCTCGGGTTTTTTTTGTTTTGTTTTGTTTTGTTTTGAGACAGGGTCTCACTATGTAGGTGAGACTGACCTAGAACTCACTATGTAGCTCAGGCTGGTCTCCAACTCAGAGAGATCCTCCTGCCTCAGCCTCCCGAGTGCTGGGATTACAGGTGTGTGCCACCAATGCTCGGCTCGGCCTGTTTTCTTGTTTTTTAAAGAAGGAAATATCTAAATTAAAAGAATGACCTTTCCAAAACTGGGCAAGGTGGCGCACAACTGCTATCTCAATAATGGGGAGGCTGAGGCGGGAGGATCACTGTGTTTGAGGCCAGCCTAAATTGCAGAGTGAGTCCAAGGTCAGTTTGAACAACATAGTGAGACCTTGTCTCTTTTTTCTCTCTCTTTTTTTTTTTTTTTGGTTTTGGATTTTTGAGACAGCATCTTGCCATGTAGTTCAGACTGGCTTTGAACTCACACGCAATGTAGCCCAGGGTGGCTCCAACTCTCTGAAGATCCTCCTGCCGCCACAGCCTCCGGAGTGCAGGGATTACACACACACTTGCCATTGTGCCCAGTTGAGACACGGTCTCAAAAAAAAGAAAGAGAAAGGTGACCTTCCCTAGGTCACATGGCAAGTCAGTGACATTGTTAGAAAGGAACTAGAATCCACACCTATCAAGATTCTTGAATAGATTGTTAAAGAGTTAATTTGTAAGAAGAAAAGCAGTAATCACTTGGGGCTAACATGATTTCAATAGGGCAAATTAGGTTAAACTGGTAGCCCAGGGGGACGCCAGAGGCATGGAGAGAAAACTGCCTTCAGTTGTTGTTGTGGATAAAACAGTGGTAGGTGAATGAGTCCACCCAGCAGTAAAATTTACTCATAGTTTATTTAGAAAAAGGAATGACAGAGAGTGATTTCAACCTAGAAGGAAATGTTCAGCTTTTACTGCTGGGCTCCCTGCTGAGTTCTCACTTGAAAAAAGAAAAAATTTTTTTTATATATATATAAAATAAAATATAAAATATATATATAAATAAAATATAAAATAAAATATATAAAAAAATATATCTATATTTTTTGAGACAGAGTCTTGCTATTTAGTCCAGGCTGGCCTTGAACTTGAGGCAGTCCTCCTGACCCAGCCTCCTAAGTGCTGGAATTATAGGCATGCTGTACTTGATTAATGTTTTTATCAATGATCGGAAGAAATGGGAGGAACACAGGATTCACAATGAGGGGGAAAGCTAATGTTCTGGAATGGCAAAGATCAGGAATCATGCAATTAACCACAAGAAAAAAATTAGGAATTACCCGGGTGTGGTGGCGCATGCCTATAATCCCTGGGGAGGCTGAAGCAGGAGGATCGCTGTGAATTCGAGACCAGCGTGAGATACATAGTGAGTTCCAGGTCAGGTTCAACTGCATAGTGAGACCCTGCCTCAAAAACAAAAACAAAAACATAACAAAAATCAGGAATTACTAAGAGTCCACTAGGCTAGAATGTTGAGCATAGATTTGAAGTTAATAGAGAAAAAGGGAATTTGACTTATGTTCCAGAAAATCAGTGTGGGACTGGATTCCAGCTCCCAGGCTCGTTTTCTGTCTGGACTGTGAGGGTGACGTTTACCTGGAAGTCAGGAGAATTGTAGGGTGGAGAAGGCCACGGAGGTGCCTCAGGCCGGGTCCAAGCCCGGGGACCACAGCCTCTGGCCCAGGAACGGGAATGGTGGCAGTGGTAATAACAACAGGAGGTGGTGCCCAGAAAACTGCAGGCATTTTAACTGACTGTGGGGGTCAGGGGCCGCAGAGGATGCATTTATGCAGGGGTGGCCGGGTGGCCAGGGCTAAGCAGCCAAAGCACGTGGAAAGCAAGTGACTCAGTGCCGGCTTAGGTGCATTTCCTTTCCAACCTGTTGCCTCCTTTCATCCTGTCCCCGACTAGCAGGTTGGTATAATCACCCCGGTTTGAGAGATGAAGTAAGGCTCAGAGGGCTCAGTGGTCACAGCTACTGAGAGGTGGCGCTGGCAGAGAACTGGAGAGAGAAGAAGACATCAAGACGGGTCACGTACGGTCACCAGAGTTTCAAGAAACAGAAGAATGAATACCAGTGGGCAGGGGATCTGAGGACTACTGGGGGAGAGTCTGCAAGAAAACTGACACATCCTCCAAAAATACATCGTAAAACACAGTTGGGCTGGGGACATGGCTCAGGG